TTGGAGTTTAATTTTGCTGAAGTCATATATTGCTTTGTATCTGCAAGTAATAACAATTTGTGCTTTTTTGTTTCTTTGTTTACAGACAAATACCACAATCTACCAAGATGTGTTTTCTTGCATACCAAACGATTTTATACATTCCAGGTATATGCATCTTTAGTCTTCCTCTTAATCCCTTATATTTTCTCACTTGCTAACAAATTGTTTGCCCCATCCGGCCACGGGTGACTTCACGCAGGGCTGCATTCAGGCAAAGTATAGCCTTCTGCAAGGAGAAAATTGGGCACACAACTATCGACTTGGGAATTGCTCCCGAGAAGTTAGAATCATATCAAAATGGAGATGTGAAGACAGCAGATCCCATGGAGAGGTTAGAATCTGTGAAGGGCCATCTGGTTTCTTTTCCTTTGGATTTCATGTTGAAGGAAGATCTAAGACCTGTGTTCAATGAAAGTGAGTATTATGCGTCTCCTCAAGTATTTCATTGAACACGATTTTCAAGTAATTCGAGCTTTACTATCTCGGGCCGCCCTCCAACATTGGATATGTGCACATATTGTTTTGTGAAAGGAAAATATTTGTCCGGCAAATTTGTAGATTAAAGTTATAGAAAAAGGGGAGGCTGAAGCCCTGCATATGTCACTGTTTAAAGAATGTAGTTAGGAACAAAAGTCAAATAAAATCAATTCATTCTTTCCGCAGTTTCTCGTCTTTTGATTTGAAATACTTGGCTCTTTAATTCACATGTGGAAACAAATCAGAATTTTTACCAATTTAGCAGGAATGACTTGTACTAGTTTTAAATTATGCGCCTGTTCATTTGGTTAAATTATCCATTTAGAGTTATTGGAGCCCCACCGCAGAGGGCGAGGCTTTCAAAAATTGACGAGCACGTCCACCGAAGTAGGGTGGAACTAGCACGCCCAGATTGTGTGTTCGAAATAATAGGTGTTGGCACGACCCGCCGTCACTTTCGATCATTGACGAGTCATCCTTCACCCCTGACAGGACAGGTTAGGAATTGAACCGCGCGTATCGCTTTACTTATAGCCAACTCGTTAACCTTCCTCTACATCACCCCCCCGATGTGGGACAAGGCTGGGAGTTGCAACTGTTTCTGTTTGGTGTGTTATAATGTACGTACTTCAAAGCAAAAACGTTGACAAGGGCTGGTGATTATTCTAAAACTGTGGGGTGTGGTTACAACGTCCCGCAGTATTGAATGCCTCAAATTTTTAACCATATGACTTTATCCTTTTAATAGAATGCACACAACCATGCTTTATGCCCTCTCTCTGTCTTCCTGTCCATCATTCTCTGAAAAATTGGACAAAATCCCTAAATCTCTCTCCCACTTAGTCGAAACCTGGAGCTCCCATCTCTCTCTCTCTCTCTCTCTCTCTCTCCAATCTGTCAGTCCCTTTGTCCCACTCCTTTCCTCCCCCAACAACCCTCTGACCGATACATCACCTACAACCACACCCACCCGCCCCGAGTCGAAAATCCTGGCGATCCTCTCCCTCCAACACATCAACCCTTATGTCCCCCTTTCGTCTCTTTCCCCGAGTGAAAGGCCACATCCAACCCAAAGACCCAAAACCATTTCTAAAGCCCAAAGGCAATTTTGTAAATAAAGTTAAATCCAACAAAAGCAAGGGGCAGAGAGAGTCAGTGGCACTTTCGTAAATAAAGTGAAATGTACTCCAAAATTGCACAGTGCCACCTCCCCCCTACTTTAGACTAAAGTAATTAGATCTCAATGTTCAAATATGGTCATTCATTTTGTGGGGTATTGTAGACATGGTTTTAAATGACGCTAGGCGCTAGTTGGGCGGCTGCCTAGGGCCTAGCGCCCATGCGTCTAGACGAACTAGGCGGATTTATAATTTTTTCAGAATTTAATTAAATTTATTATAACAAAAACTAGTTATACTTAATAAGATGGAGTGTTTCATTAAATCAAATTAAAAAATTAAGGTAAGCATATATAACGGCCCACCCCACCCCTTTTTTTCCTCTTCTCCTCTCTCTCTTCTGCAACATCATTTTCATCGCTTAATTAAAAAAGCCAAATCATGCAGCTTATTTACTTTACCTCTCTCTTGCTTTTATTATGAGTGCCTCGTTTCCATCAACTAATTATAACCACATGGGCTGTTTTATACTATCATACCTCTCCCTTTATTTATTTTTGGTATTATAAGCATCCTCGTTTCCATCGCCTTCTCTCTCTTCAACAAAGATGCTGCTTGTTCTTCTCCTCTTCCTCTCTTAGAACTAGGTCGTTATCCCCATTAAACCTCTCCCACTGCCTCCACAAGCTCCTCCAAACCTCCAATTTTCATTCCAAAAGCCTAAAAGAATTCCAAAAATCCCAACGAACAAGCAACATTTGAAGAAATCTGAGGTAGATTCTTTTAACAATCAAGTGGAGTTTGTATGTTTGCTGAGATTTCTAGTTTATTCTCTTTCTTCTCGTCAGATTGCATCGAAACAGAGAACCGACGAGGCTCCGAAAGGCCGCCTAGACGGCTGTCTACCACCTCCGAGACCGCCTAAATAGCGCATAGGTGGCCAACTAACTCCTACCCAATTTGATGAACGTTTTAGCATAAATCCCAGTGACACTCGACTGCCCAATGCCTAGGCCAATTTTTAGAACACTGATTGTTGAAAAATTGCAATCTATGATGCCAAGAAATGAGGCAAATCCTACACCAAGTGGATAATTGACTGACCAACTAGCTCTTTGTCTAGTATTATTTCTCTTCTCAATGTTAGAAGATGTCTCAAGCTCAGTTTCTAACTCACCCCATTGAATAATAAAAAAAATCAAATTATATAATAAGATTCCTCAATCTTTATCCTTATGGGTACCATTTTCAAAAAGGTGGAAGTGCAACAAAAATTGTGCTCATTCTAAGCCATGAAATTCATATAACACAACTTAACAAGTAAGTCACAAGGCAAACTCAGAGCATTAAATCCTTAAGTTCCTTTCATATACAAATTGATACAAATTCCTGCTTTCGAAGAATCGATGTATCAGTTTCAAGTTCATAAGCATTAGACAAGGCTGGGTTTAGGTCTTAGGGTTAGGGTTTAGGGTTTAGATTTAGGGATTAGGGTTAGGGTTTAGGGTTTACGGTTTAGGGTTAGACAAATTATTTGATGTGTGGTTTCTAAACCCTAAACACTAAACCCTAACTCCTAACCCCTAACCCCTAAACCTAAATCCTAAACCCTAAACCTTAAACCCTAAAATCCTAAACCTTAAACCCTAACCCCCTAAACCCTAGAGCTTGGTATGACAAGTTATTCCACACTTTGTTGTCTCTTTGGTTTGCAAATTCTCAATCTGATTGCCCATTGTTTGTGAAGTTTCAACCATTTCTGGTAATTGTACTAGTGTATGTTGATGACATACTAGTTATTGGTCCTAATCCTACGTTTGCAAATCTTTCATAACTAAGCTTAGCCAACTTTTACAATAAAAGACTTGGGTGCTCTACATTACTTCTTAGGCTTAGAAGTACATAGGACTTCAGATGGAATTTTTCTTTCTCAAAACAAGTATGCATGAGATTTTCTTATCAAGACACATATGGAAGGGAGTAAGCCTTGTACTACACCTCTTGGCACTCAGAAACTAGATCATAGTGATACCTTGTTGTCTAATCCACATAAATATAGGTCTATAGTTAGGGCTTTCCAATATTTGACATGGACTAGACCTGACATCTCTTTCGCAGTTAATCAACTATGTTAGTTTCTTCACTATCCAAGAGACACTCATTTTCGAGTTGTGAAAATGTTAGGATTTTTAAAAGGCTCTATTGATAAAGGTATGTGGTTAAAAAAATAAAAAATAAATAAATAAATAAATAAATAAATCTTCATGGCACTGCTTTCTCAGATGCAGATTGGGTAGGATGTGTTTTTTTACAGAATAAGTACTAATGGCTATTGTGTTTATCTGGGCAACAAGCTTATCAGCTAGAGTGCAAAGAAGCAACATATTGTTGCTTGTTCATCCACTGAGGTTGAACATAGATCTCTTGCCCACACTTTTAGCGGAACTCACTTGGATATGCAAAATTTTCAAGGACATTGGTTTTTCCTCTTTCTAAGGTTCAGGTCTTGTGGTGTGACAATGGCTAAACTATCTGTTTGGCATTGAATCTTGTTTTTCCTGCTCGTACCAAACATGTTGAGATCAATTAACACTATCACAAGGAACTTGTACTTGCTCAACTTCTGAAGGTTTAGTTTGTTCCTAGTCACAACCAAATTGTAGACATCCATACTAAATCTTTGTCCAAGGCTAGATTTTTGTATCTTCAATCCAAGCTTTCTCTTGGTTTCCCTCCGTTCAGCTTGAGGGGTTATAAGGACACAGATAAGCAGCCTAATCAGCAGTCCATGTTAGCAGCATTTTCATAGCTTAGTGCAATTAGTCTGTTTTAACAGAAATGTAACTAATCATAGTTAAAAGTTAATTAGTTACATTTGTTTAGCTTACTAATCATTTATTCCGAAATTTATAAATATGCCAATGTAAATTCATTTCAATCAATGAAAGATATATTTCTAAGAACAAGCCCTTTGCCCAATCGCCCCGTTGTTTTGGAACTGCTGGAGCTTATTTCTTCAGCCTAAAGACTGTTAAACCCAATTGGTAGGGCAGTTTCCCTACTGCTGGAGATGCTCTTAGTGGATGGATACCTCGTTTATCTTGATGCCTTGAATTCATGGTCATGTGCTTGCTCACAAACCTGCCTCGTTTATTATTAGTAATGGGCCGCTTCAATCATTTTGATGCACCAGTTATGATTGCCTCACTACTTTGATGCCTCATTGGTGGTTTTATTGCTTCTCGTTTCCTTGTTGGGCCAAAAAATGGAAAGTACATTTCTGTATGAGATTCGTATTGCCCAGGTTAGTTGGAAATTTTTGAGCAGGATTTTATTGTCTTAATTCATGGTGCTTGATGCTTTGATTTACGCGTGTTCCAGGATTTGATCTAAGAATTTGATTAGCACAACTGTATTAGGCTGTCATATTATGTGGCTGGTAGCACTCAACATCAACTAGGAGGGCATACACTTATATATATACACACAGCGCTGATAGGAACTGAGGATACAAAAATCCTTATTTACCCAGATTCCTTCACTCCAGAGTATTTTGAGACCAAATGGTTGGCTTGTGGCGGGGATGAAGCGTGAAAGAACAGGCAAATAGCTGAGATGTCGTCCATCGCAATGCCTCGTTTCTTAGTCTTCCATGCAAGAGCGGCACATCCCACCAGTCTTTTAGCTGTTTTTTTCCTATCTGGACATGAGGAAACTATTTTAACAGCTTCTTGGTTGGAGATGACATCCCATACCTGAAATCGGGAAATGCAAAATGAGATGAAACTTTCATGTATGCGTATATATATAGTTTTTTCTACTCATCTATGCCATGCGATTTTATCAAACTTCTGAGACTACCAACCATACAATTACTTGTCATTTGTGCAACGCTTGACAGAAAATACTACTGTTTTGTTTAATTGATTGCAGATTTGTTCAAGGCACTCGCTTTCTATTCGCATCTCCCTACTCACAAGAGTACAGTATGAGTCTGCGACCGTTACTCGTGCGTAGGGAGATAGAGGACAAGGGGGTTATGAATCCGGGATAGTTAAGTTTTTCTGGCATATTTGAAACCAATAATTCCATCTAGCAATTTGGTCTTGTTATTCTTAATCAATTTGAACAAAGTTAACGAGGAAATGCATACCCCATCTGTTGCTAGAATGACAAACTGGTCGCTGCTGGTTATGCGTCTTTGAGTCACGTCAGGCATTGAGATGAGCCCGAAGTCCTTCACACAGTAGTCACCAAATGCTCTTGATATTGCCAGTCCTGGTGTTTTACCATTTGGCATCCACACCCTGTAAGTCCCTGGTTCATCTTGTAAGCAAAACACTCGCCCATTCGACCTATTTATTCGCTCAGCCTCTTCTGTAATGGAAAAGGACCCTCGAATATTAAGAATATGATGCTCATTTGTATATCCATGAGACAAATAGAGAAAAAGAGAGCTGACGAGGTAAATTGGGTTTAAAGTCCACTGTAAGCTGGAGGGCTGCCAAACTGCCATCATCAGAAACGGAGGCTAAAACAGCCCGAGAATCACCGATGTTTGCAACGACGAGATTTTCACCCTGAAAGATCATTGATCGGGACATTTTTGGGTTACTTCTAATTGAATTCCTATAATCGAGATGGCATTAATCTACATCCTATGTTGAGAAAGCATTGTAGTCTCTCGTGTCTAGCTAAACCACCGGTACATGCTTTTTTCTCTTCCTAAAAACAGTACCAAACTACTCAGATATACAAAGTTCCTATATTTGACACTAGCTTCAGCCCAAGTTGGGGAACCAAGGATATCTCGTAGAGATGCTCGATGATATATAGACATGTTTGTGAAGATGTGCTACCGTGAAGAGAGAATCGGAATCTTCTGATTACCTGCTTAATAATTGTCAGAGCCGTAGCGCCACTCCAGTAGGAATTGAGTTTGGAAGAATGCTTGAGCTCCTTGTCAATGGCAGCATAGGTTTTCAGAAAGGATTGCTTCCACATATCGAAACCATGGAGGTTTCTGTCCATCTCCATTTCAAAATCCGGGTCAAGTGATGTTGAAGTGAGAGTCTCTTGCCAATTGCACAACAAGGAAGCAGGCAAGGATTCCCTAACCCTTTTGCTAACAAGATGACCCCATTGGCCATGGCCATCAAATATCCCACAAAATATCATGTCTTCTTGGCATCCAAATTCCTGCAACAAAAAATCCAACTTATCCAAAATACTGAAAATGATACGTCTTATGGATACAAACGATATATTACTTTAAACTCATCTAAACTAAAGGAGGGGACTCCAGCTCGAGTGCATATGGGGAGCACATCCGCTCTAGCTGATGCAGCTATGACCGCATCTGCGAAAATAATGTCACGTGACTTTGGACCTACCTTCCAAATGGTTAAGCAATCCTGATTGATCCCCTTCCGGCCTCTCTTGGAGCAAACGGAGGAGAGAGTGTTGGACCTCTCAGACATAACCACGCCGGAAGAACTCGAAACGCGTTCATTCTTTTTGGCTTCCTTTTCCCATGCTTTTGCAGTTTTCCTCGCAACATCGCTAGGGCAATTCTTCGTTTTCTTGCCCGATTTTGTTCTTCCCCACCCCTCAAGAAGAGATGGAAATAACACCATAGCCCCTAAGTCCAGATCGATAATTACACACTTGAAAACAAAGTATCTATAATTCTATAGCTTGGATAGACTAAGGTACAACAACTCTAGGCTCTCATCAATCATCATGCTGTGTTTAAGAGACATGCAAAGGATTTGGAAAGATAAAAGTGATGTTGCAAATATATACCAATAAAATCCGAAAAAATAAAAATCATTCTTCAACATTCCTTGGCAAAGAAGAAAGAGAAACAAAGCCTTCAATATCGATAAGTTCTTACTTTGTACGGTATGAGTTGCTGGAATATGATTTCCGTCCGGCGATGGTCCACAACGAAACAATCAAACAAACACTTGCAAAAGGCGATGGTCCACGACGAAACAATCAAACAAACACTTCCTCTTGCTTATACTCCATTTTCATGTACTTCACCTTCTAATGTTTGCAAGCTCTAAGTAGACCTACGCAAAAGCATGCTTTGAGTGCAAAATTACTATAACGCCAATACCTTGGCCTCCATGTCATGCAGTTGTCATGGCTCTTTTGGACATTCTAGAGAGAGAGAGAGAGAGAGAGAGAGAGAGAGAGAGAGAGGGTGTTACATCAACGTATTCACATACATCATTTGCCTGCCCACTTCAGCCATAGGATATGCTTTTAGTTTAAGCTATCACAAACAAATAAATAAATATATACTGCATACGTATGGCTATGTGGGTTTGGAAGCACTCGCAAGATTATCATTAGCTAATCAGCAATATTCTACACAAAGTCGGTCTTAAACAAATGGAAAAAGACCTGTTCGCCGCTGTGATTAAAAGAAATCAATATTGCTGTGGAAGAGATTAGATTGTGATTAAAGATGTATTATCTTGAAGATTATTTAAGTGCAAGAGTTCATTACAATGTTGTGATTGCGAAAGTATGTTTATTAATCAAAGAGATTAGGTGGTGTGGTGGCTTAAAATGCCTAAACCGTCCAATGAGATTAGACTATATGACTCTATATATGATTATGCAAATGATTAAGAAACAAAAAAAATATCAAACCAAATCCAAGGCTATTAGAGAGCCACTTGTGGTGGGGGACCAAACGAATTACATAATCATGATCATACAATACAATCAACATATAAAGATGTTAACACCTACAAAAAGTGGTTTTCTTTAGGGAAAAAAAAAAGTTATTTATGGGAGAGTGGATATGTGCATGCTAGATTCTTCTTGTAGACAAATCTGTAATGTTCGATGAAACCAGGGTGTGGTAAGATTGCTTTTTCATGGCAAGTGTAAGATCAGATTATTCGTCATATTTTCTCCAATCCGGTCAACTACAATTTTTCACGATATAAGAATATATGGTGCATGCTAGTCGATATTATTGATATTGTTGATATTTTGATCTTAAAATGATTATCGATTATTGTTTACGAACTCGACTGAAATCCTGTTAATTGCAATATAAAATGACTAATTCATCACAGCAAAAAAGAAATACAAGCTTATTTTGGGATTTAATTCCATGCTACCTATGTGGAATTGAAGAAATCACAAATCTTGAAGGAAAAGAAGGAATTGGTGTGCACCAACTAGTCATTCTAATTAATCTGATTTCTTAATTTTTCAAGTATTGAATTACAAATTTTAATGCATAATACACACTTTTTTTTATTCCATGCATTAGTAAACAGCAGTAGTGGTGGTTACGGTTGGGTGAAGTGCACTTTTAGGGTAAAATTGAAATCGAAATTAAAATTTATTTCGGTTTGGGTTGGTGCGGTTTTGGGGTAAGAACCGAAATAAAACCAAACCATTTGGTTGGTTCAGTTTGATTCGATTTCAAACGATTTTGGTTTTGAACTATGCCTCATCGGTAGGCCCATTAAAAGATTTGCATTAATACAAGTATACAACATTCAAACAAATTAAAAAGTTCAAAACCTAGTCATTTGCAAATTAAATGCTTTATAACATTAATACAACCCAATTAAAAAACAATTCAAGATCACCATCACCATACTAAAATTCAAACAAAGTTCAACAACAAAATGCCTTAGTCATTACTTTAATACAACCCAACTGAAAAAGTAAACTACCATACTTAAATTAAAGTTCAAACAAAGTTCAACATCAAAATGTATTATGGCATAAATATTAGTACAACGAAAAAATAAATTGCTCATGCAATTCACCAACAATGTTTTGATGCTTTAAAGCGCTCAACCCCTTCTTTTTCCCTTTCCTTTTAGAGACTTTACTCTATGAAGGCTTAGGAGGCCTTTAAGTTTGTGAACGGGCTTGAGAAGACATTCAAGTTTGAGAAAGCAATACTTGGGAAGACCTTAGACCTTGTGAAAGTGAAATAGATGGATGAGAAACCATTGAACCTTACCTTGTGAACCAAAAGTTTAAGATTACCTTGGAACTTGTTATTCTGGTTGTGGATTAAGAGTAAGAGAGGCGATGCCTGAATTCGAATGAGTCAAGGCTAGGTTACGATGAGGTTGAGTCCATACTACATGTATGGACTCAACCAAATAAACAATTATATTATGACACCTAATTGACTATTAAAATAAAAAAATTTAATATTATATGGTGCGGTTAGTTTTCTGTTCGGTTCCGGATATTAAGAATCGAAATCAAATAGTTTCTTAAGCTTGCGGTTCTGTTTGATACATGTATTGGTTTTGGTTTTCAATTTCAAGTGCCTACAGCTAACAAAAGGGAAGTCACGTGACAAAAATCCAATAAAAATTTTGATATCTACACAATTTTAGTAAACGGAAAGAAATAAAAAATCCGACACAAAATTTAATATACTTAGAGCAACTCCATTGTTGCTTATTGCCTTGGGGATAGGCAACCCAATCCACACCCCTTCCCCAAAACACTCCAATTCACTCGAGCAATTGTGCTCAAGGCAAGCTCGATGGAGAAGTTAGGCAAGAATCATCTGGCCCAACACCCTGCTTATGTGACACAAAGTTGAAGTGATCATGACATCAGCCATAATTTAAATTATTAAAAAAATTATAAAAAAATTATTAGAAAAATATATAAAGAAACTAATTAGACTATAAAAAATTATAATTATTTTCTATAAGTACCTAATCATGTTCTTCCGCTTTACACTGCATTTCAATATTTCAAATACTTTCAATCAATCTTTTATTATTATCCGAAATTAAAAATAAAAGTTATCTATTATTATTTTATAAAATAAAAAAGTACGAATATTTTAACAAGAATGGTCTAGGCCATTCAATTTAAAAGTGAAAATGCACTTGAGCAGCTATTTTTACTGTTCATTTAAGATAATTAAGATGTCTATTGTTCAGGAGAGCCTTACTACACTGGGAAATGTTCTTATGCTTTAGCAAACCTCTTTTCTTTTCTTTTTTTTGGGCAAACTATTCTTTAGCAAACCTGTTGTATAAAAAAAATCTGAAATTGACGGGACCTTAAAAATCTGAAAATGACGGGACCTTATCCTCCAATAGAAAGAAAGATAATGGTGGGGCTGGCTGGGGATTTATAATGTCGAATCCAGATGATAAATCATCTTGCAAATTTTGTGGTGGTGGATTCTTTGGATGCCGAATGTGCGGAAGCTTGGCCCCCAATAACATCAATAACAGCTTAAAGCAAAATGCCTGATTCCAAAAGTGCTTCTGTCATTTTAACTTATCTTGGATGTGGATATAAGCAGTTTTACCCATAGAACAAGAAACACAGATACAAAATCCAACTGTACAGTGTGCACTCATATAGGGCATGCAACATAAATGATCTTGTATTGATTTAATCTTTTCACATTATACAATTACTGGATTCGTCATTTTCCAGTTCCCTGATCAACAATTCCATCATTTTCTTATACATAGGCATGTAGTGATCATTAATCATCGTTCTAGAAAGTCGGAGCTTACTGTACAGTTCTCTACGTGTCTCGTATATACCCACTCGCTCTTCAGCCGTTGGCCCGTTGTCATCTAAATTAGTAGGATAGGATGAAGGGACTGATATAATGTGCATGATTCTGCCAGGGGGGTAGAAACGATGGTTCTCTGAAACATCCGAGGAAGAGATCGGCGTGTTGCTTTCTGCAACATCAACTAGCATATCTTCTTCCTCGGTTATTTCTTTCACTGCGGCAGCTTCTTCCTCTCGGGCCTCGACATTGACGTCATGCTCCTGCCTCTTAAGCTCCTTCTCCAGTTCATACCACAACTCGCCTTCAGTAATGTCTTCAACAGAAGATGTAGCAGTATTTCCATCCACTGGCAAAAGCTGCTCCTCTTCATCGGTATCATCATGGCCTGATCCACCACTAGAACTAGAGTCCGAGTTATTCAGCATTGGGTCTATGATTACTCCATCGTGAGATTCAGAATCCTTTTCACATATAATAGAAGATTCTTGCAAATCGTCTGCTTTAGAGTTAGGTAATTGGCCCACATTACGGCGACGTGCACCCATGCAAGACCATGATGATATGGATGAATGCGTTCTCACAACAACATTCTGTGCACGCTTCATCACAACCTACAGGTTACAAAGCATAGCCTGTTATAACACAAAGTAAAAGCAAGATTGGGATACAAAGGATGCAGGGTGGACACTGGACAGTAGTAATTGATGTTCGATAATGATTATTAAACAAACAGACCAGTATAATATAATTCAAATGAGCCAATTAGCAACAATTCAGTAACAGTTCACAAGTACACTGTACAAATTACTACATTATATGAGAGGAAACATAGCTTTACCTGTGTGCTGCTGGATACTGGTCGCAATAGCGCACCTGCACCAGCAACCCTCGCTTTTGCACTGGCAATAGAAGGTAGACGAGAACCCAGAGCAGTTGCAGAGCGATAAACAACATTCAAAACTCTTGTACGCTCAACTTGATCCCGCAAATCATTTAACCATGAGGAAGCTGTGACCTGATAATGACAAATTCTCATAAGAACTCTGGAAATGTCTAACAGACGAGAATCAAACTATATTCATGATTAGAAAGAACAAATGCTATATGCATCCACTCGAATATGGTAAAAATAAAATACCTCAGAGCGGAGGTCATCAACAGAAGCTGCTGAGAAAGTAGGAACCAGGTCGGAGCCATTGATTATAGTAGTGATGAAGTGCTTGCCAGATTCTGCCAACTCCCATGTTATACACGCAGCTGGAGAATGAAAATTAGGTAGGTACATGAGCATTTTCTACCAAAGCAGACAAAAAGAGACCTTAGGAAACACTTTTTTGAAGCAAAGCACAGATACCAATACGCCAACCTATAAGCATAAAACGACACCCCTACCCACACACATTATCTGTTCTTCAAAAGTAACGACTCATATTTAATACCTTCTATCTATTGAATTTATATGTGCATTTCCATGAACAAATGGATATGAAATTAGAACCATTAACAAAGATAAATTCAGCAGACATACCTGGAGCAAATGTAATGCAAGTGCTTGAAGAGAACTCTTTTTGTTCTCGAAGAATATATGTTAACAACGCAGCTGTACCACCACCCAGTGAATGCCCAATAACCTGATATGCACATATCAACATTAGTTAGGCATAAAACATGTATAAGCAGGAAAGCGATAATACAGCTTTTGATCAATTTTGAAATGGAAAATCAGTGAACAAGTGGCATGCTTTATTTAAATTAAAGAAATGGCATTTACCTTCACTTTGTAATCAGGATATTCACCAACAGCCTTAAGCAAGCAAGGAGTACTAATCTTAGCAATCCAACGGGCTGCAGCAACCATCCCACAGTGAGCATACCCTAGGATTAAGTTGCTTATTCCACCATCATGCAATACCGAATGGTGGAAAGGGGCCACTGCACCAGTTGCGGCAGTTAGTGTATCTTTGATGCTATGTGTACCACGTATTAATAGAAGGAAGCATTTTGAATTCTTATCACGTATAATTGTGAAGGCAGGCTTCAGAAGCTGCAAGCATATTTGTTCTAATTAATAGATGAATCAATCACAAATTTTAAAGAGAATAATAAAACCAAAAGCTGCTTTCTCACAGAAACATAGAATTGTGAGCACCATTGTTTGCAACATGACTACTATACTCCAAACACAGTGGTTAATATGAATAAATTCTAGGACATAACTCAATTCTCATTAATCGACCACTAAATAAATGTCCATCTTTTTTGAGTTTTTAACATCATAACAGACATCCATCTCTCATTTTCTGCATCAACTTCGACTCTTGAACCTGTTTCACTCTTACTTATGAAGTTGGAAAACTTGGTTGTGATCGAACTAAGGGCTTGTGAATATGGTATTGCTATGAGCCTATGACGATTTTGAATGACTAAGTGGGAAATGGTGGATTTTGAGAATGTGGGCAGCTCTTGTTTGAATCTACGGATTTGCTGAGTATACTATTTTGGAATTCTATAGCCCAAGCATTTGTTTGTATGTGTTATTTGCTTAGCCACAAATTTGAGCGCTTAGATAGTTCTGCGGTACTAAATATCTACACAAAAATGTCTCAGAATATAGCATCTGTAGCTCGAATTTACGGAGCCAATCTGCCACTACTCGCGGTACCAAAAGGAATGCGATCGATCCACATCAGTCCGATTACCAGTAGAACAATTTTGAACAAAAACATAAGCAAATGTAGATAAGTTATGAGCTTACTAACCCCGGCCTTGGGCTTCTGGAGAAGAACATCTTCCTGAGAAAAACCCCCGGACTCTAAAAACACCGGAAACGGTTTCTTCGAAAAGAGCATACAAAGCGTCAGCAACTTCAAGTAATAATTTAACTCCTCAACGATTTCAGACCCTTTGAGCTGCACACTACCACTACCAGCATACACACTCGCAACTTGTAAGTTACCCTGCGAATTAACCAAAAATTCAAGGACTTAATACTCAAATAACGAAACTTTTACAAGCAAAAGCCACAAAAGAGCGAAAAATTGCAGAAAAAGGACTCCAATGTTGAGCGAATTACTCACCTGCCGCCGCATGAGGTAGTTAATACCGAAGGCCAAGTCGCCGATCGGCCACTTCCCGAGAGTTTCGGAGTAGGTGAACCGGAGCGTATCGGACAAGGTGGTAAGCGACTCGACCCACGTGGCGGGCGCTTGAGCCGGTCGCCGAGAAAGCCGTTTCCTCGCCGATCTCATCCTCGAGAGATTTCCACTCAGATCGCCGTCATCATCCCCGTCTTCCACTCCGCCCTCGTTCGTTGCCACCCTCCGATTGAGCACGTAGTAAAGAATCACGGCGGCTCCGGCGGCGGTCGCCATTGTTCCCGCCGCCATTGAATCCAAAGGTCGAGATCGAAAGCTTAAAAGAGCGACAGCACTAGCAAATTAACTCCGTAGAAACCAAAATTGCTAAAATTCCAATAAATTGATCAGAAAAAACAAAAACAAAAAAGAGAGAGAGAGATTTAAATTGTTTAATTAAATTGAAAAAAGAAAAAGGGGAAATCAAATCAGGGAAGATTGGGAATCGTTGCCACCCTCCGATAGAGCTACAGACCACTACTGAGGAATGTGAGGGAATAACGAAAGAACTGCGACGATGAAATCACGATTTTAGGCCTCGACGTATAATAATTGGTGGGGTGGTACGGGTAACATATTCTTTTGAATAGGGGTATTTTCGTCACGAGAAGTTTTACGATTTTGGGCGGAGGAAGGGCACGCCGCGCGCACTTTATGGATAACGGAATAATTTGGGATTTGTCTGGGGTGGGTAGATTTAACAATTAAGACAAAAGGCAAAGCATCGGAGGATTTGAGGATAGTACGCGTTAGGTTTTTTTTTTGTTTTTTTTATTATTAATAAATGATATTATCTACATTGAGAATGAGATGTGAACTTAGTTTCACAATGGATTAGTAATAATACGGTTTAAATTTGTCTTTGACAAGAATTGAACCTAAGACCTTTTGTAGAGAAAAAAATAGGGAGTTTTAATGAAAAACCCACGGTACTGTTCACTTTAACGAAAAATCACATTTTTACACTAAAAAGTCAAACCTGTTACTATTGACTTTACCTTTTATTTTGTCTTTATTGTTAAAATTCAAAGTTTTCAAGCCATTTTCATTAGTTTTCCTAAAAAAAATAATCAAAAAAAATTATAAAGGTGACACATGAACTTTTGGATGAAAATGACGAAATTACTCTCGAGGTACACAGGGATTTCCACGCATATGCAACGGATAATAACGGCTCAATCAAATAAGAGTTAAAGGTGATCAAAATGATATTTACTCAAATCTCTCTTATCACTCAACATCAAATCCTTATTCAAAAGGTAACTCCTAATTTTCCTATTTAATTTGGAATTAATTACCAAGTTAATTTCAAGATATTATTTCACATTATATTTTGCAATTAGACTCATAATTTGACCATATATGACCAACTCTTATTTAATCAAATAGGGATGGCCACTCCCTTATAAATAGTTTTGTTCTCCCACTAAAATTCTAAGTCATTCTCTACCCAAAATTCCTAAACACATTCTCTTTCAACTTCTAACTTTGACATTAGAGATTCTTCGGCCAAAGTCCCCCATTCATCGTGGGCGCGTGAGGCTTTTGGCCTTAATCTTAGGTGTTATTATTTTGCAAGTGCATTTTCGTCAAATGAGAAGATGACGGAAATTTACATCTACAAATTGGTGCTTTCATTGAGAGCTTGATTCACACGATCGAAGAAGACTCTCACATTCATAGTTTCTAATTTCTCATTCATTTGTAGATTTTTCATACATTCTTATTCCTAAATTTTTTTTATAAATTCTTTGAATAAAGGTAAAAAAAAGTACAATGACTAGAAATTCAGAAACGACAATGAACGAAATTTCCTACATTCAAGGATTTGGACCACGACGATCCACGAAGCTCAACATAACAACGAATGCAGTGGCACCACCCCTACAGGGCACCACTATGATAGCTACCACGGTAGCGACCCTTGGCTGCCTACAGTGAGCAGGCCACATCGCAGCAGGTCGGCCAGGCCTATGCCACAAGGCAGCCAGCCTAGCACAAAGCAGCCCACATTTAACGGGCCTATGGCGCTGCAATGGCAGCAGAGGCCCAAGTACCTACAACAATTGGAGCAGCCTAGCACTCGCGGGCCCAAGGCCAACGTAAGCCCAATGCGCTCCAAAGCTGAACCCAAGATCAACAGGCCCAAGTCGCGCCAAGGAGAAAGAAGGCTCAGCGCACACGCACTCCCATGGCCCAATCCACGGTCCAACCCACTTCTGTGGCCCTCAAAACAATCCATACCGGTCCATGACCGTTCCAACTTCATATTTCTGGGCCGATGATTGAACCGGGGGTATTTTCACCTCATTTCTCTGCATATTTGACATATCTCAACTCAAATCTCACGCCCAGAGCCCATTACACTTCCACTACACAAGGAGACACATATAGTCCAAGCTCTTCCAACCCAAATGGCAAACAACACTTGTCCTGACAAGTCATAGAGTTAACAAACGCCTTCACGTAGCAGACGACCTTGGAGAATCAACTCTTGCAGTGTGCCCCGGACGAGATGTACCGAAGTAGGACTAAGGCAGACGACGAACCTTTCCAGCAACGTCCCTACAAGCATCTTCTCGACCAGATACAAACCGAGCGTTCTGGCAGTGTACATTACTAACTGGGCCCCCGAGATAGCATATACTCTCATCTTAGTGCGCGGAGGAACGTACATTCTCGGTTAGGCCCACGGATAAGCATACATTCACGGTTGGGACCACACTCTAATAATCAACATGAGTAACCTTCCAAGCGAAGTGTTCATTCGTGGCTAAGCTCGCAATGAGCATCATCCACCTCACATCAGAGTAGGCAGCATGACGGACGGAGAAAATCAGTCACTCAATTCGGCTCAAGTTCAACAGTCAGCCTGCAAAAAATTTGCTCGTATGCTAGGAACGTATCATGTGCACCACAACCGCACATAAACGAGCCGAACACATGGAAGAACAACCTAGACCAGCAAATGACGACCGGGGGCAGCCAAGAGCTCCGCTAGCCCAACAAAGGTAAATTCAAGAAAAAGTATAGAGGCTCCTAACTGAGTGATTGCATGATTTCCAGCGCAACAAAGTCACTGATGATGCACTACAACAGGACATGACTAACATAAGCAGGTCATTCTTCACGGACAAGATCGAGCAGGCAGAGCCCCCACGCAAGTTCAGCATGCCACATTTCACATTATTCAAATGGGATGAAGACCCGGAAAGACACCTGAAGCACTATCGAAGCACAATGATCCTCTATTAACGACACTCTCATGTGTAAAATATTCACCACTACTTTACAAGGTAAGGCGCAAGATTAATTCCACAACCTACAGTCATAATTCATCCGAAGTTTCAATGAGCTTTCTTTGGTTTTCACCAAGGAGTATTCATCTTACTGCTCGATCAAGAAGAAGTTCAATCATTTGTTCAATGTCAAAAACAACCCAAAGAAATCGCTTCGCAACTATGTGAAGAGGTTCAAAGCAGATAAGGCAAAGATAGTCGAATGCGATGACTCGATAGCTAGTGTAACCTTCCAAAAATGACTCCTAGAAAACCACCCATTGTTCAAAGAATTGATCATGAAAAAAGATTTAACTCTGGCAGACTCTTTCGCTCTAACAAAGAAGCATGCACTCTGGGACCAAACTTGGCGAGCAGACAAGGCACCTGAGTAGCCTCGAAAAGAATTGGCAGTAGCTCAAAATAAAGGGGATGGGAAACGGTACAACAACAAAAACAAGCAAAAAGGCAAGCGTAGGGACTGATCCTTAACTAAATAAGGCCCAACATCCTAGAACTACTCTAAGCTCTTGATCTCGATCCACCAAATCCTCCACGACATCAAGAACGAACCATAGTTCAAGCTGCCAAAGCAATCAAAGGGAGATACCTCCAAGTTAGACCACACCAAGTACTGCGTATTCCATCGAGGTCCCAATTACACAACCAACGACTACTACACTTTAAGGAACTATCTAGAAAAGTTGGTGAAATAAGGCAAGGTTGACAGATACTTGGACAAGCCTGCTGCGTAGCCTAAAAGGAACGCAGACGCCAATGAAAAGCTGAAAACCAAGTAGGATGTCGAAGGTGTCGACTTCTCACACGACGACGCACTAGTGATATTTGTCTAACTAGCCGACGTCATAGTTGACAAAATGATGGTGAACAACAACAGAGCAGTCAACCTATTCCTACTCTCAGCCATTCAGCAGATGGGCATGGAAAATTTGATCATACAACAAGCGAAGGTATGCACCAGATTCAACGGTCATACCTCGACTGCCATCGGTAAAATAACATTCGATATGAAAACACCTCCAGTGGTCTTAAAGCAGACGTTCATAATAACTAACGACTCGTCTTCCTATAATGGGATTCTAAATCAACACTGGCTAATGAGACTAAGCGCGATAACCTTTATTGAGTTAAGAAAATATGATTCCGCATCCCGATAGGAAGAGTCAAAGATATCAAGTCAAACCAAGCCACATCTCAACAATACACTTTGCAAGTACTAAATGTGTCAAAGAAAAAGTCATTTACCTTCATAAAAGATACTACAGTGTAGAAAGACAACTCTACCTTAATCGAAGACGGGTCAAGAGACGTCGATCACATATTTCTTGACCAAAAGCAATGATCAGTGATCGGACTATATTAACAACTTAGCGAAGGCAACAAAGCCCAACCCCGCTGATGCACATTAAAGGAAAATCCGAGTGATCTTGAATATGAAGTCCACTATTACTCTGAAGGAGATTCAAGATCTGACCAGATGAGCAGCCACACTCAATCGTTTCCTCTCGCGGTCTACTGATCGATGCAAGCCTTTTTTCAAAGCAATTAAGAGGGCACAACGAGACAAATGAGATGATAAGTGCAAAAGAGCTTTCCAAAACCTAAAGAAGTATCTAACATCACCTCCTTTACTAGCGGGGGACTTATACATCTACTTGGCAATCTCAGAAGTAGCAATGAGTTCTGCCCTCATACGAAAAGAGTTGAGGGCTCAACTACCAGTATTATACACTTCTAAAGCTTTTCTCGATGCCGAAACCAGATATTCGAAGATCAAGAAATTAATTTTGCCGTTAGTTGTTGTGGCTCGAAAACTTATACCATATTTTCAAGCTCATACAGTCATCATTATGACTCAGTATCTTCTACGATCAATCTTACATGGTACAAATGCTTCTTAACGAGTAATGAAATGAACATTGGAACTTGGCCAATATCGCTTAGTTTTCCAACCTCGCACTGCAATAAAGGCCCAAGCCTTGGCGGACTTCATAGTAGAATTTACGCCTAGCCAAGGCGACGCAATAGAGCGACCCAATGACCTCTCGGAGGCAACCGAGCACGCCCTAGCTGCGTCTGTTTCACCCGATAGATACTTCTGGCATTTGCACGTCGACGATGCATCTAACTACAAGGGCTCCGAAACAGGGGTCGTCTTTGTTACCCTAGAAGATTCAATGCTCAAGCAAACAATCACTCTAGGCTTCAAAGCATCCAACAACGAAATAAAGTAAGAAGCCATACTAGCAGGCCTCCGAATGGCAAAAAACTTGGCGATAAAAAAGCTTGTAATTCATTTTGATTCCCGACTAATTACCAGCCAGACTACATTTGCACGTCGACGATGCATCTAACTACAAGGGCTCTGAAGCAAGGTGGTCTTTGTTACCCCAGAAGATTCAA